TCCTAGGACAGGCTGTCTCCCGCCGCCTGAAGCCGTTTGGGGTCAAGAAGTTTTTGTACACTGGCAGTTGCCCGAAACCAGAGAGTGCCGCAGAGTTTGAAGCTGAGTTCGGTAAGAAAGGCACCAGGAGCAGGGACAGTTGTCAATTGTCTGTTGCAGGGCAGCACAGAGCACTATGGCTGGGATGGCTCCAGGGAGGTGTCCCCCTGTGTGGGTGAGTTAGCGGGAGGCACGGTGCGAGCTGGAGGCTCTGAACTGCTGTGGGCGCACCAAAGCAGGGAGTGGCAAATCCCAAACTCTTCCCATGTGTCGGTGGTGGGTGGCAGGGAGGGAAACCTTCCTCCTTTGAACCAGGCAATTCTAGCCAGAAAGCTGGACATGCCTGGTGCCTGGGCTCGACCTGACCATAGTCGTGGACTGTGGCTGTTTCTGCTGGTTTTGCCTTTTATCTTCCCATGGTGTCCATCTGTTTGCAATTTCCAGTTAGTTTCATTCGCATGAGGAAGTGGAACATAATGGGCCGTGAGGGGAAAGTGGCAGCTGCCCCTGCGAGGGGGAGAAAGGTTCCCATGGACCCTGTGGGGTGGGTACCGAGACGTCCTGCAGGGACAGTGGGATAGGTTGAGGCTGAACGCAGATCTTCACTGAGAGTAGATGTTGCTTCTTGGAAACAAACATCAGCCTGAACTTCCTGCTTTAAAATGAATGCCACAGTCCAGCCAAGCCCGGGAATGTGTCTTAGCTGCTGAACAGGACTTTTCTGTGGGCCAGTTAGAGTCCCGAGACTTACATCAAGTGCTAATTTTTCAATCCAAAACCAGCATGTTTCCAGGTGGTACTTTTTTGCACAAAGTTGTTGGCAGACTTTGTCCTGCTCCTTGTGCTTTCCTCTCCTCACCTCCAGGAGTGAAAGTGGCACAAGCTGTTTTCTGTACATATTGTACAGAGACATGTAATGCTGGTATAAACCACGCCTGCTGTATTTTACTGTCTAAACGTGAAATACATACCAGAGCCTCCTTTGGGCCAGATGGCTGAAGTGTTGCTCGATTCCCCAATGGGTTGGTTTTAATTTAGAAGTGAAATAAAACACTACAGTAGTGTCTGTAGGAACATGCATGGTTTCTGTTGAGTGTTTGCTGGTCCTTGTGTCTCCCCATCTGTGGAGAAGTGTCGAACAGGTCACTCCAGAGCAGTGGCTCTTGCTGGCAGATCTTAGGGATAAGAGGGTTGCTGAGCTGTGTTGGTGAGGTTCCCTGGGCAGAGCTGCGACCTTTGTGTTTCCACTCAGTCCCACTCACGAGGCTGGCTGAAGAATCGGACTTCGTTGTAGTGACATGTGCTTTGACTCCAGCCACCCAGGGAATGTGCAACAAGGACTTCTTTGCCAGAATGAAGAAGAGCTCTGTTTTTGTCAACACAAGCAGGTAATCGCAACGCAGTCTCCTGTGCACACTGTGATGCATGGGGGCATCTGGTAGGCTGTGGGATATCCTTCATCTGGGAGTCCAGGCACTGTGCACAGCCGTCATGGCTGCAGCTGCCAGGACCATTTTCCCAGGGTGTGGCCTTCTCTTGGGGTCAAGCCATAGGTAGGAGTAGTTGTTCAGGGGGCTCTGTCTCCTCCCCAGGGCCCTGTGTTGCCCCCCGATGGAGTGGATGGATGGGTGACCATTGGGTGATGGGAGGGTGGGACTGAAGGATTACCCAGAGAGGACTGCAACCAGCAGGAGCCTTGCTCTTAGGATGGAGGTGGCTGCAACAGAGCTCCTTGGCTGAGTCTGGCAGTAGCCTCCTGTTCCCACTGCCTTCTTTTGGAGTGCGGTGGCAGGGCGGAACCCATGCAGCCCCACATGCGGTGTCCACCCAGCCGCCTGGAATGCCTTGGGCTGCCTGCACTTGGGCACCCGGCTCTTCTCCCCACTGCCAGGTGGCCCAAAGCAGGAGCAGCTCGTCACTGGGAGCTTCAGGTACATCTGGAGGGAGTCTTTACTGCCACTCAGGCAGCCCTGAGGACCTGGGTGCCACCACCCAGGCTGTCCCACACAGCCCATGCCCTGGCTGCATGCCCCTGGGAGCCCACAGGACCCTTCGGCAGCAGCGCAGGCCTCTCCCTCTCTG